GCACACACATACACACACACATACACACGCACACACGCACACACTCGCGCGAGCACACACACACACACATACACATACACATACACATACACATACACATACACATACACACACACATACACACACCTCCTCACACACTCACGGTTCTTCCGTTGATGTCGGTAGTTTACTTAGTAGTTAGACTACGTGTGTGGCGCTCATATGACCTTATGCAATTGCGAGCGGCGAAAAACCTCTACTAAAACAGACTACGTGTGATTGCGGGTTTGAGGGCTCGAAGCTAGGCTCGGTCCGACGTTTTTCGTTCTTCGGAAAGGCGTTTTACACGATTTCCCCATTTACTAGCTCGGTTCTATCTGAGTTGGACGTCCCATTTAGTGGCTCCCACCTTTCACATAACATCATAGTGTTGCAATGAGCGTTAAACCTACACAATCTATTAACCCCAATCCGTACGTCGTGTTTTACTCTCGTATCCACTGGCCGTGGGGAACTCTGTGCCACCACTTTCCAGAGAGGAAGTTTACTCGTTAATCCAATCCGTACGCTTTGCATAGCAGTCTGTCAAAATGATTTTTGAAAAATATGGAAAGTTTGAAAGAGGTCTTCGTACTAGAAGTATTCTAAAATGTAAAGAATACAACCTTGGGGGGATTGGGGGTGGTTACAAAATGACCCCAGGGCGTACGGATAGGCTTAAGCACGGTTCTCCTTTGCGTAAAGCGCTTCGACATGCATCGAAATGCCTTACACTGTGTGTAGAGGGCGGGATAACTTCTATGGGGTCAACATTATCGTCATTATCAAAGAAGCAGGTTTCTAGCATGCAAGATTCATTGGTAGAGATGATAGGAAAATCAGAATCTTTCTTCGGACAAACACACTATTTTAACAACTTGTGTTCATTGACACCTACGACTTGGCAGAAATTGTCACTAAACTTTGGGACCATCTTCACAACTCGAAGGAGGATTATTATGAAAATTCTGTATTTAGAATTGGTGACATTAAAAAAAGCTGCCCATACTAGTGCTTGAAGTCTCCTGTTTCTTTAGGCAATAGTGTGGAGGCAATGGACAAATCCATATGAAGAGAGCAAAAAATACCCGTCGATTTCTCTAAGGTGTCACTTTAATTAACCAACATGAAGACGTTCGTAAATAATCTCCTAGAATTTAAGACTTGATGGGATCTCAAAGCAGTAAAAAACAGCATCCTGATTAAAATGTCGAGCCATGCATTTCCTCGATAGAAACTAAAACATAAAAAAGAACTGTATACAGTATAATTGTAGCTTTAATCCGCGATCTTTTCTTTTTTAAAGACAAGTGCACCAAACGTTGGTAACCAATGAATGACAATGTATATGTTATTTGGTTCTTCTTTCCAAACCAAAACATACATGTCAGGGATAAAGGGCTCAATGAATAACCCTCGTCATATTCTCTCCTTGCCCCCC